CGACCCCATCGTCATGCAGGTTGCCTGTGCCCATAGTCTGGTGGAGATCTCATCTCACACGTTCGGTCGTCCGCCATGTTGGTGTTATAGATCATAGTAAAGCAAAACGCACGATTTCAGAGTAAACTCGTAAGGCGTAAAGTCCACACCAAATTCCATTCAAATCTGTCCAGTGGTTCTCGAGTTGAATCATGTGGATAGATGGACGGACAGCCATTACTAACCCACAAGGAGTTCTTCGCTCACGCTAGAGTGTTAATAACAGCTGATAACTAATAGAAGTTAACTAGTAACTTGAATGAATGTATTTAAACCGGAGATAATTAGGATCTAGATTTATCAGTTGATTAATTTATGGTTTCATTATTCTGATTACTACGGACCAGAACCACTAGTAAACCAACATCAGTTTAAATTACAGGAAGTTTTTTTTTTACATTAACGGGTTGCCTATGAGACAATTACGGAACTGTGAAACTTGGTCTCGAGGTCGCTCGGAACTGCTGTGATGCTCATCAGAACAATAATATTCAGAAGAATGGTGGTATAAGAAACGAGTTTTCCGTCTCACGAAAGGACATCTTAAAATAATAAATACAGACTTACTTAAACTTGCAAACAAGATCGTCTTTTATAATTTAGACACTCGCTTTGCCATGACCTTTAATGTAACCACTCACTCGCTCACCCAAAACGAGATGCGCAGATTTCGTCGTCTTCTTTATACTACAATAACTAGCTGAAGTACCTCTTATTCGCTCGATAATTTATTAAAATAAACTGCAGGATACTGAAACAAACAATTGCTTCTATTATCACGCATCTTCAACACATTCTTAACTAACTTTTGTAATTACGTGATGGTAATGAAAAATCGAAAATGGGGATCAGAGTCTACTCTTTCGTCAGTGGTTAAAACTTCAACTAATTTGGACCAGTGATTTGCAAATTATTACAGGTAACAGTCATTTCTTTATCTATGAAACTACGATACAAACAACGAAAATGGCACTAATTTATAAACCCGAATAAACGGTCTACAACTTTATTCACCAAAACATTATACTTCGTTTAAAAGCCGGGTACACACAATGCAATTCACTGTTACACATTATGATTCATAAGCCACACTTCCGAAGCTTCAGATGACAAATAACGATCAAACGATCGGGATGATAGACGAAAAAAAGGGGCAGAATTTACGTCTGTGATAGTCCGCAACTGTACGATCTTCCTGTATGGCGACACGCGTCTGTCACCTCAATCCTTATTTTATTTTTGCGAAATGGTAGAAAAATATAGATGGAGATTATTCGTTTTTAACCTTAAACTCCAAATCAGCAATGATTAATTTAGGGCTATATAAGAAGAGAATGGAAAGCTTGTGAGGATTATTGTGAAATGCTAAGGATGAAGACAGCATGTTCCTCCAAAACGTTGCGCGGCATTACAACCCAGAAGACCAACACCAACATATCTGTAACATAAAAATAACGCCTTTTTGTTGTATATAAAATAATTTGTCAGAAATGTCCCACCGATGTACAGTCCCAACAGAAAGAGGCCTGAGAATAATAAACTTATATTTGTGCTAAAAACATCACGATATTCAGCACTAAGCCACTAAAAGAAAACGTGAATCGGAAAGAGTAGTCCGTTGCAACATTTTACATTTTCCAGCTGCGGTAAATATACGACGGTAAATCGCATTTGTAGATGATAAGCTCTGTCTTGTGGAGCCTTGACTAAAAATACAACCGAATACATTACACGTCACACTTAAGTGCTACGTGCTCTTTCATTGAACAATGACATCTGTTGACAGTAAGGAGAACAGTACAAAAGTTGTCGACCATGTACGAGTATGTACACAGGCTTCGATGTCATTTGTCAATGTAGCGTGATGACTGAGACATTACAACAAGGCGACATATCGCCCTTTCGTTCACTACAGACACTTAAGTCTAAGCTGGATTTTAAATTTATCATGACAGTAAGTCAGATGAAGCGTGAGATAAATCTCAGAAATGAAAGACATGTTACTCCAATAAAGAATACCTTAGGCTACTCTACATGAATTGATCACTCTGAAACACGGCAGAAATCACTCACGTCGCTAACTCTTCTAAAACGTCTGTAATTATACCGAATTTAGAACAACAAATGATAAGTAAACTGACTATTATAGGCTCGTGTCTTCCCTTCTGCTACATTAAAATGTAAATATTAAAATATAAGGAAATCTTGTTCCATATGGGTGTTAAACTTGGTCTCTCATGTAAAGGGAGCAAACACTACGTTCTTAGAGGCTCGGTTAATTTTGGGAACTTTGCAACATAATAGATGATGTTACGACAGGGTAGGTTAGTTTAGGTTCGGTTAGGATCGGCTGGTTTAGGTTAGGTTAGGTTGGGTTAGGTTAGGTTAAGTTAAGTTAGGTTAGGTTAGTTTGTTAGAATAAGTCACGTTTTGATAATGTTCGTCACGTTTCTACACTTATGGTCACATCTTGTCACGCCGTTAAATCAAGTCACGCGTAGTCACACTTTGCCACGCTTGGTCACGCTCATAAAATCTTGGTGATGTTTTAACATTTACGGTGACCTATCGTCACGCTTTCACAGGATGTCACGGCTTGTCACGCTTTGTCACGTTTGCTAACGCTTTGTCACGCTTTCTAAATATCCGTCACTTTTCGACATATATTGCCACATGTCGTCACGGCGTTACAGTAGGTCACGCCTAGTCACGCTTTGTCACGCTCCCAGAAAATAAATCGTTGCTTGATTATCTTAATTCGTTTCGAAGCGGAAACAATGAATCAACTTACTGGAAGTTCTATCACGAATATCAAAGGAACATTGAACACAGACTGAAGTACTGCGAGGTTTCTAATCTGGAAATTTTTTGGTACTGACTCTTTCTGGATTGTCAGTTCATTTCGTTCCTTGTCATTCCTTCTAACTAGTCTTCAAAGCGTAGTTTTCTGCGTCACATCGAGTCGAGACGCAATTATCAGGAGTAGCGTGTTTGTCAAAGTACAGACTATACAGAGTAGTTATCTAATTATAATAACAAGCAAAACTCTGTTGCGGCACTCAACAAGGTAATTACAAACGGGAAGTGCCAATTTTTTATGAGTAAAACATTGCATAAACCGTCGATAATGGGTTTTAGCTTACACGCAGAATATGTAATACGTTCTTAACAAACCGATTTGGACTGTCAATCATTCGTTTGTTTATTTGGACTTGATCCTCTCATAGTCGAATTATACGCTTACAAAGGGGTGACAGTATGGTAATCTAGTAATTCATATACTGGCGCAAATAACAAAGCATTACGTCAAGAAATGGTTATGTGCCGTCTGCATTTACACAAAGGGTTCCGAAAGAACTCGTAAATCTCGTCCAGTGCTACCAAGCTTGTGTTGTGTTGAAAATTTATGGCCAAAACACGCAATGTAATTTAGCTCTTAGTTCAGCGTGCTGAACCCGTGCACAGATGGTCATGCGATCGGATACTAATCGGACCAGAATTCTTATTGCCAGCTCATTATGACTAACTTGTTTCAGATTATCATTATAATTACGGTGGCTGGCATTAGTATTTATTTTGGGGTGTGGTGGCACTTATTACAAATCACAGATTCTGTTAGTGTTAAACCTGTCGCACATAACGTAAATTATTTCATACAGAATTAGTACGTAATGTATGATATACATCCATACAAAATTTCTTGCGTCTAACTTCAAATATTTATTACTTATGTCCACAAAACCAAAAGCTAAACGAACTAAATGTTTCATAGAGCAGTAACATCCTTGTTGTAAAATTATACGATAAGCACTTAACAAAATGTGCATATTTTTCGAACATATTACCAGTTCAATTACAGGCCGACACACCCTCATGCTCTTTTAGCAAATTCCACAACTGCTACTCTTTGCTATTTTCATACCACACTAAAAAAATACGATGCTGTATCCACCAAAGTATCCCATCATAATTATCCGCAGAGCGATGTCCAAATGATGGAGGCAGCAAGCACCTCTGAAACGTCGGCAAACTTCCAAACTACACTGTACAACAACCCAGAAAACAGTCATCTAAATGATTTTTTTTTGGCAAACAATGATTTCCAGTTTCGACCTTGAACTTTGCCAGTCTGATTGTTAGCCGGATCCTACTGTCGCCCTGAGGCAGGATTCGTAACTTCCAGCGACAGGACGAATGCGGAAAAGACAGACGACAGACGGGACTCGCAGCTTAACGCGTACTCCGACAAGTTCTGACTTAGTTATCCCAAGAGTTATTTAAATATTCTGTATCAACTGCAGTTTTAATTTCGAGATGAATGATATTATACGAATGATTACGAACTGCGAATCAAAGGGCAAACAGCTATCGTAGTCTGCAAGCAAGAGAGACAACTGATCGGGACAAGATACGAAACAAATACTTCCCGAATACATTCATAGTCCACAGTTTTGGTGCAAATTGTTATATACACTGAGTTGTCCTCGGGAATCATGAGAAAATTTGAACTAGGGAGTGCAGGATACGTTCAGCGTTCGTTTGGGGCAAACAGATTCTGAAGCTATTTAACAATGCTACTTATGTGGAAGTTTTTTTTGTGGTCTATTTAACGATGCTGCCCGTAGATCACATTATATAGCGTCGAAAGATACGATGATTAACGACTAGTGAATTGGTAAGGATATGGGAGGAAGAGGCCGTGGCCTGATTCAAGGTACTGTCCTAGTATCAGTCTATAAAACTGAGGAAAATGAGGAAACAGAATTAGGATATCCGTCTCCATGCCGGATTATAACCTTGCACTTTCCAAATCCGAATCAAGTTAGATGATTTCGAAATTCTCATTTTCATTATCTCGCACTTTTGGAAGTTACATGCTGCTAACTCAAAACTTTAATACGGTATAAGTGAAATGTTTTTCATTGTCTGCGAGTTGATTAAACACGTAAGGAATATGTTACCTTTGTGTACGTAATCTTTTTAATGTCCGAATCTTCGCCGCTGGACACTATCCTCAGCTGGTCTTATTCCCTCTCCATCTTTGTAAGCAGAATCTTCGATGCTATCTGCCCAATGTCTCATAGGGCGTTTCAAGGGGCTAAGTTTGCAGCATCTAAAATTGACAACAAAAAATTGGTAATGACAGTCACACAACTACAAGAGCCTTCAGAGTTCTATTTCTAGCATCGCAGGATTCCAGGTTTTCACGGTGGAGAGTCCGCAGATCGTTCTCTTCTGGGTTGTAGCGTCTTGTAGTGTGGTAGACGTTTCCCAGCGTTTCAGAGGTTTTTGCTGCTTTCATCATCAGTACTCATCGCCCTGATTATGGAGACGGCAAGGACCTATAAAACGTTGGTAACCTTCTCCTCGACTACACGGCGCTACAACCAAGAAGAAAGCCATCTTCTTATTCCTGCAGTAATTCGTATACCAGTTTTTCTCATGTCTTTCCACTTAAGTAAAACGACAAGGCCTATAAATTGGAAATGAACAGTCACATCATAACACGTTTTATTTTTACAAGGAACACTTAAGACGGCAAGAAATTGGAGCACACTTGAACATATAATGAGCCCATCAACTTCCATTCCGGTTGGATCGACTGCATGACGTCACGGAAGGGTTATTGTTCCTGACAGCAATACCGCAGCGCAGACTCGAGACTCAGCACCACATGTCCGTTCAAACAACCTGCTAGTAGTTCCAGCACATGAGTGTGGGAAGGACGTCTGCTAAGAGAGGCCTGCGCGTTCCATCATCATGTGAATTCGGACTGCACTGAGCATCCAGTGATAAACCAAAGCTCAAGATCAAATATGCTAATTATCAGCATACAGGTGACAAAACATACGGCCTAAGCGCAATTAGAACATCATTTTCTGAAATACAAGGATTAAAATATGCGTATGAACAACTCGCGTTACAATTCTAAGAATAAATAGACTGAGTTCAGCTGCTGAAAGTGACAAAATATCAAAGATTGTATCAACGTAGCGTTTGAAACGTACTGACTATAAGCAAGAGAAATTAGTGTGTCAGTGCCTGCAGCGACCATATTCATTCCAGCAATTCACGAGGTAAGATGAAGTATAAGAATCTCTCTTTTAAGTTATGTTAGCGATTAAAACGGCGACGTGGAGCACAAATAACTCAGCCAATGGTCCTCAGGCCTGTAGGATGTGTAACAGCTGTCAGCTCACTCGTGTGGACCAAACAGTGTAGAGATACAAGCGTGACGACATTAAACAGAGCTCGCTCTCAGGACCTCATACGTTTCAACGGTCTGAAAACGACACAAGTAAAGAGGCATGGCCATTTATATATCGGTACATGCAATGTGTATGTAGGAACGATTTCAGAAGCTATAAAATAAACATATATTAATTTAATTGCTCTTAGATTTAATATATTTATATCAAACGGTTAAGAAATTTTGCCTGTGGAACATTCGTCTTCTACAAAGGACGTGGTATCTTCCGTGTAAAGTGAATTCTAAATAATAACATTTATATATTACAGTAAATAGCTACAAAATTTGTATATATGTGTGTATGTTTATATGCATGTATTCGAATTTACATCATCTACATTCATAATAGTGAATTAAAGGACGTTCATTTTGTAAAACGTTTGATTCTTAGTTCTTTAATACAATTTGTAAATGTGTAAATTAAAAATTATAAGCTGTGGCTTATGTTATATTAAATTACAGCAATTTCTATTTAAATAATGCATTTGTTATTTGTTGTTCGTTTACGACAGTGAGCTGAGAATTATGACAGGCAACCTATTTACTCATTATCATTCATTAACATTTTAACAGTCCATTACTCCGCAGTACGGCCATGAAGTTTCATACAGCACCAAATACAAAAATATATTTTACGAAATAAACATAAAGCCGATTTGGATAGAAATAATGCTTTCATAATTTTCTCCAAACTTTCGAATTAATATCTTATTTTGATCTGTCACGAATTGCTCTCTGGCCCGTTTAGATTCAGAATTTATTGTTAAGCAGTGAATGTTTAATCAATTTGTTGAACCTGGAGAACGGGAGATGCTCCATCTTAGAGCCTCTACGACCTACTTACACAAGGGAATACTGCTAGAGAAAAATGATAGTACATCCAGGCCCCGAGCGAGATTAGAATTAAATTAATGTTTTACAGTGTTGAATTTCTTAGCGACAAGCGTATGTCACATTTGTCGTAATCCCATAAAAATGGACAAATCTAAATCTAAATATACGGCAGATAGATAGACCACACTTCTCAAATCTTCAATTGTAAAATAACGTTTGCTACGAAAAGATCTCACTCTCGTAAATGTTTTACGTCTTAAATTAAAATTGTTAGATTGTAATTTATACCAAATCATTAAAAAAAATGTAACGAAAATTAATATCGACGGCCAACATCCCAGAAGACAGCCATCTTCTAAATACACATTGCTGCTGTAGGTCTATCGTTTCGTTTGGCTCAGACAATATTGCATCGAATGATATGGAAACTAATCAAATGAAAAGGATATGGAAGGAAGTGATCTGCGCCTAATTTGTGATACTATACTAGCATCCCTCTGAGGAAATGAATTAATGAAAACCCGAGTCAAGATACCCGATCTCCAGACCGATGTTTGAAGCACAGACACGCTGAACACAATACAGAAGTGATAATGACTATGACGTACGGTCTTAACCAATTTAGAAAATGTTGGCTATTTCAGTTGGAAACGATCATTATACTCGTAGTTAGAGTAACTTTATATCCTTTTAGAAAATTAATACATACAGGTAACAACCAATTAAACAGAAAGATAAATAACAAGCTCGATATTTTTAACTTTACTGTCATTATAATGAAAATAACGCCCACCAATATAGCGAGAGTATCTTATGTATAATTTACATACATTTACATGCGTGACTTGATTTTGGAATCAGAGAGGCAGTCGATATCGTACGTAGAAATTTTACGCGTAATACTGTGTACATCTTACACCGTTTACTCGTCTTTAACTGGAAAGGTTCAAGAATTTATTGCACGATAACGCACTTCAAAAGTACCATACAAATGCTTTATCTAATATGGAATTTAACAGCTTACATATTTCTTCCTACTCTGAACATGAAATCCTCAAGAGGCAGGCCTGCAACATCGAGTTCTGACATAGGATAAGGACAGTGGAGAGCTGCAAGTGACAGAAGCCATTATAGCTTGCCTGCGGTCGGATCTGGTACGACAGTAAACTAAATAATATACAACCCATTTCATACCTTAATAACATTATATTACGTAATCTTATGTTAGGTTTACCAGATATCTCTGTAGTTACAAGAAATGTTTTTCCCCTTTGGAGCCGAAGCTCGTATATATGTATAATTTTTGTACCGCGAAGAAAACACCACCATCACAAAAATCAACTGGTTAATGATATTGAGATAAGTAACCGCTATTAATCCTGAGAATCATAAGAAATACGAAATAAAAATGTATTAATTGTTGAAGCAGGTGGTACATACAATTACCATTGGATTTTAAAGGGTTAAAATTAAACTATAAGAAAATATTAATTTTAACGCATATGGTAAAGTGTTTTCTCATAGTCGCTGATAGTTACGAAAATATTCAACAAAGTCCCTGTTTTAACCCGAGGTTTCGTCACCGACATAACAAAATGCCACCATAGGATTCATATTTTCATTACCAATTTCCCTAAGATATATTTTAATATCATCGTTTGATCAACGGCTTGTCTCCTGTTCTTTCGATGTAGTTCTCTAACCAAAATTTTGGATTTTAGAAATAATTTAGAAATTCACAAACTTAACGGAAAACGGCATACCGCATATTATAAAAGCCAGATCAAAATCATCCGATACACAGATCGGCAGTTACATTCTATATGAAATGGGAATATTCAAATGTCTTTCCGTCCTCGACTCAGCCTCTACTCACAGCAGCGTTTAACCACATTTTTTACCATGTTATTAAACTATGCTGACGAATTTATAGACTGTCTAATCCTATAAAATGCTTCGTATAGTGAGGAACTATGTAACAAAGAGAAATGAGAAAAATACGCATTTTTAAAATATAGTGATATTGATTTCTTTATTTAATGCTGTGTTGCCTGAAGTGTTTGTTATAATTCATTAAAACAGACAGTAATGTTTGTACAGAAAGAGAAATGAATTACCTCTTCTTACAGACAGCAGTGCTTCGGGCCAAACGACAATTAAATAACTGAACCTGATACACCACATTCTCAGAAAAATAAAGAGACATGATACTCATGCTCTGATGGAGTAAAGAGCTAAATCACTTAATTTACTACATTCCAGAAAGATAGATATCTTAGTATGAACGGAGGTGCAAAGTTTTAAGAGGTATTTATAGGAATTCTTATTGTAATTTTTTTCTTGCAGTGACTTTAGTTTATAGACGCGTCGTGTGTATCCCAGGTTATTTAATTATAATGTATCAACTGTAGAGATTATATATCTTTAAATATAATGTGAGAATGATAATAATTTGCTGTGTTTCTGAAAAGGAGTCTTTATGGACTTTCTCAATATGCAGAATTACTCTAGTTGAACCAAGTAAAACAACGGAACATCTCAGCAAAGATATGTGGCCTCTCTGCTGTGTTTCCAAATATGAACACATATAAACAGTATAATGAAAGTAGATAAATTATAATTATGGTTGGATACTGGCTATCATAAGCGAAAATCTTTTGTTTTTCCAGTCTGTCTCCGGTAGTTAGCAAGTGCAGTATGTTTACCCTACTGTTAACGAGAGATTACTGCAACGCGTACCATCGCCATTTGTCACTTATATTCATCCTTTGTATCCCATTATTTCTACGCAAAATTAGCGGTTGTTAAAGGTCCATTAAATAAACTAAAATAAATAAGGAAATATGTAAAATACGCGTATGTTAGAATTATATCCACGTTCAAGTTAGCAGTTCATTCTCGTCTAATTTGCATCCTTATAAAACATAGTACGTTCAATAAAAGCAGAGTATTGCGCTTTATGTTAACACGTAATACGTTAATTCCTTATCCCAATATGTTATTCATGTAATCAGTTGTGTTTACAGTTGTATTGTACCTCCATATTTGCACTCCTTTATAACTCGAGCACCTCAGATAGTAACACGAGTCACCTATTCTAAATTTATAAATAGGTCTATTATTTCGTACTATTAGAAGCAGGCACAAGGCCATTTCTGTAACACCACTGGTTTCCTGTTCAGAAGTTATCAAAAGTGTAAACAGAATCCTCCAAGAGTTTGATTTCTTGCTCTGTGTTAGTGTAGCAATTTCTCCAGCAGGCGTGTGAGGCGGGTTATCTAATATTACATTTGCAGAAATTACGAAGTAGTTCTTCAGTTTGTCTAACAAAGCCAATGGATGTAAGATAATTCGTTAAAAAGCTGTCGTGGTTATAAACAAAGGCGGTCCGTAAAAGACAGATAATTATTTGCTGTCTCTAAAGAAGAGACTGTGCTCCATGTACTGGTTACGTTAAAAAATAACTCCCTTGCGAAGTTCACAAACTCCATCTGTTATCAGTTTAGAACATTCTATTAGAAGAATTTTTTTTTTTTAAAAAAACTCATATTGAAATGAGGTACTTCAGCTCTTGCCAATGTTCGAATAAGCTGTAAGCCCACTACAGATCATCGTTATTTTCATTATCACGGATTCCAGGGCAGTGGAAATCCCGTCCTTCGGGGTGGACGCGTGTGAAATGTAAATTTCTACTTTTATCGTTTACAGGCATGCAGGGACCATAATAATCTTGGGGCATAAGCCAAAAAGAACGCAACCCACATTTTTAATTACACTTCGAAAATACTTATCCAGAATCCAGTATAGGGAAATTTTGAGTTGCCCTTACTACAAAGCTATATCAAAATTTCAATTTTACGAATATTTTCGTGATTAAGTAGCGAGAATGAAGACGTGTGATGATCAATATTTCAGAATCTGGAACCGAGCTCGGCAGGATGGTAGAAGCCAGTAGTACTTCACTGGAGCTGGACCTCACAACTGACAACTCAGATGCATCGTACTGGATCCCCGAGAGAAAAAGGGAACGAGATTTGGAAGACGAGTACATCCTCGGAGATATTATCGGAAGGTAACGTTCTGCATGACAAGCATTTTTCAGCATAAGTTTCAAGCCACTACGCATTATGACCGTAGTGACTAGCGTTTAAGTAACAACAATATAGCGTAATTTATTCGTTTACGATAATTACCTACAACTATTACAGTTTTTGTTACTGTCGTATTACCATAACCTATTCAGCAAAGTTAATGCCATCTGGTTTTGACATCGTTTCTCTACAGTCAAGTCAGACATTTCCAGAGCATAATCGCAACTCATTCAATTTTACATTAACAAACGCGATACGCATGTATGATAATTATCAGGAAAATAAACACATAAATGTAAGTTATGTCAACTCTACCAGGCAAGCAACGGTGATTTTATGTGCTCAGGATTTAGATACAATAACGTGAGAAATTCGTAAATTTATAAGGTACTTTTATGCAAGGGTACCCACGGGGACGTCCCTACCTTGCATTGCTTCCATTACATCTCTTTTCTCAGAGAAAATGGCGGAAAACTATGAAAAGCCTCAAACCAGATATCATGCCTCAGTAATCGAACTTCCCAATATATTTTAGACTAGTTAAAATTTCACATCATTCGTCCACATTTCCCGTTAAATG